AATTGTCAATCATTTAATCTACAGCATGATTGTCTAGAGGTATCACAAAAAAGGAAAGCATTAACCTTTTAGATTTGTTATTCCTCCTAAAAATCAAATGTATTGTTCTAATAAAGGAACTACCAAGATGTTCAATTGTTTGAATTGTTTTTTTCTGTGCACCAGAATCAACCCTCCATTTGGTTCTCCGTCTGCGTGGTGGCATCATTGAACCCTCACTCAGAATGCTGGCCCAGAAGTACAACTGTGACAAGATGATCTGTCGCAAGTAAGTTCAGCCTTTCATAAAACATTGCTTTGTTTAGGCTGAACTCAAAGAATTGAGATTATTTTCAAACCCATGGCATTATTGGAGGTAAATATTCAGAATTAAAACTTACTGAGCTAGAACTGTTAAATTTTCGTTCGTTTTTTTACCTTTAAGTTTTATTAAACAGATGTTTGGTTTAATGCCCTGACTTAAATAATGTTTTTAAAGTTTTATTTTCTAAATATTAAATATCTGTTTATTAAAAAGATTGATAAAGAACGCTTTTTTTCTTTTCTCCAGATGTTATGCCCGTCTGCACCCCCGTGCCGTCAACTGCCGCAAGAAGAAATGCGGACACACCAACAACCTTCGCCCCAAGAAGAAGCTGAAGTAAATTCTTCGGTTGGATTGGCATTCTGTGCCATGTTGTGTTAAAATAAATATGAGAAAATGACAAAGCCAGTCTGGTGTGTGTTATTCAGTATTTTACCTGCCATATGAAGGTGATGTATTTACCTAGAATAAGATTTTGCATTAGAATCATTGTGTTTACCAGATGTTCTCAAATAAAGATTAAAGATGGTTGAGGAGTTTGCATCAGAGTTCTGTTTTCAGAAACCTGCACAATATATTATCCTAGATAACTCAAACATTTTCCTGGAAATTTAGCTGTTTAATGGGAATGTTTCCCAACTTAAAAATATTATCTGGTCTAAGCATGTTTGATCATATTTTGGAATTGAGCACAGAATATTTCCTATCCAACACTTCAAAGTAAATAAAACAAATTGTCCTTTAGAACTGAGAAATGTGCTTTATACTTGGACTGCCAAATTGCTTAACGACAAAACCAAATAATAAAAACAGGGCTATTGCAGGGCAACATTTTAATGTTTAAAACAGCTCAGTACAAATATGGAATCATCTCATTTTCAAATCCCACAAAAGTCCTCTTTTAACACTGATGGTTCCATCGACGGCTCACTTCTTGGAAAATACTTTAGTCAGACAGGCCTCTACTACATGATAAACAGTTCTGAGGTATTTGGAGTCCTACTTGGAGGTTGAACAAATTTCTAGCAGAAGGAAAGAACATGGAAAAACAAAACTATGGAGATGAACATCAGCTTCCCTCTGGCCAAGTTTGTTCCAGTTCATGTGACTTTAATGTTACTTCTTTGGTAATGTGTTTTTTCTTAGCTTAGTGCATGCTTTCTACTCATCCTAAAGTATGAAAGAGGAAATCCTTTTATATTACTGCAGATAATTCATGGCGGCAACATCCTTTGTGCCTCTTAATGGTTTCTAAAAATCTATAAAAATAATAAATGTGTGCTACTTCAATTGTGCAGCTTTTGAGAACAAGATGGTAAAAGGACTTATTTTAAGCAGAGCATCACAAATAGGCAGAAATGGTAATTACTGTACTTGCTGCATAAAATTACCAAAACAAAAATATTCACTTTCTTTTGACAGTTAAACCTAATCCTTGTCAACACCAAACCTAAAAAAAAGTCCAGTAATAGTGCATCCTGCTTGTTCTTTTCTCAGTGTAATATATTATTCTCAAGGTTACTGTGCAGAAGTCAAACAGAAATGAGGCTGTTGTGTTGTGCCTTGACTTTGATGGGCTTTTCCGTGCAAAAGGCAATTCATAATCCATTCCATGGTAAAAAAAAACAACAAAACAAATGTGTATTAATTTACAAACGATTTCAATTCTACAGGCAACTGTGATAGAAGTATTGCTAAATCAGAGACAGTCACATGCACCATATTGGATCATTAATTTGCCATTCGAATGTGAAACATTTGCGATGTATGATTAATAAAGCATGGCATTTGACCTAGTGAGATTTTTCGCCAAGTATATTTGTCCCAAATAACTAAATGAAAACCTGTTAGACACGTCAAGTTAAAGCGACTTCCATGTCCTTTGAAATGTTCACATTTCTATCTTAAAACAACCAGATTTTATTGGGATTTTGTTTTATAGACTAACACAAATTTGTACTCTACTATAAAGGAATGCAATGATTTGTATTCAGCCCCTAGCTTTGTAATTTTTTTGGTGTGCCTCATACAGTTGCACATTTGGAAAACTTAATTCCTTTCTAATAGCTTAACGACCAGCAAGAGAAACAACGTCTTAGTGATTCTCAGTTTCTTTAACTAGGCCATTACCTATATATCTATATGCTTTGATCTGAACATTGATGGCGTCTGTATTTTTATTCTGCCACCATGTCTCATCCTGGAGACGTACTGCATTAGCTTTCAGCCACACTTTGTTTTCTATTTAACGCCAAACAATTGTTATTATGGTCTCATGTGGACTGTATGTCCTACATACACTATATTGCCAAAAGTATTTGCTCACCCATCCAAATTATTGGAATCAGGTGTTCCAATCACTTCCATGGCCACAGGTGTATAAATTCAAGCACCTAGGCATGCAGACTGTTTTTACAAACATTTGTGAAAGAATGGGTCGCTCTCAGGAGCTCAGTAAATTCCAGCGTGGAACTGTGATAGGATGCCACCTGTGCAACAAATCCAGTCGTGAAATTTCCTCGCTCCTAAATATTCCACAGTCAACTGTCAGCTGTATTATAAGAAAATGGAAGTGTTTGGGAACGACAGCAACTCAGCCACGAAGTGGTAGGCCACGTAAACTGACGGAGCGGGGTCAGCGGATGCTGACGCGCATAGTGCGAAGAGGTCGCCAACTTTCTGCAGAGTCAATCACTACAGACCTCCAAACTTCATGTAGCTCAAGAACAGTGCGCAGAGAGCTTCATGGAATGGGTTTCCATGGGCGAGCAGCTGCATCCAAGCCATACATCACCAAGTGCAATGCAAAGCGTCGGATGCGGTGGTGTAAAGCACGCCGCCACTGGACTCTAGAGCAGTGGAGACGCGTTCTCTGGAGTGACGAATCGCGCTTCTCCATCTGGCAATCTGATGGACGGGTCTGGGTTTGGCGGTTGCCAGGAGAACGGTACTTGTCTGACTGCATTGTGCCAAGTGTAAAGTTTGGTGGAGGGGGGATTATGGTGTGGGGTTGTTTTTCAGGAGCTGGGCTTGGCCCCTTAGTTCCAGTGAAAGGAACTCTGAATGCTTCAGCATACCAAGACATTTTGGACAATTCCATGCTCCCAACTTTGTGGGAACAGTTTGGAGCTGGCCCCTTCCTCTTCCAACATGACTGTGCACCAGTGCACAAAGCAAGGTCCATAAAGACATGGATGACAGAGTCTGGTGTGGATGAACTTGACTGGCCTGCACAGAGTCCTGACCTCAACCCGATAGAACACCTTTGGGATGAATTAGAGCGGAGACTGAGAGCCAGGCCTTCTCGTCCAACATCAGTGTGCGACCTCACAAATGCGCTTCTGGAAGAATGGTCAAAAATTCCCATAAACACACTCCTAAACCTTGTGGACAGCCTTCCCAGAAGAGTTGAAGCTGTTCTAGCTGCAAAGGGTGGACCGACGTCATATTGAACCCTATGGATTAGGAACGGGATGTCACTTAAGCTCATATGTGAGTCAAGGCAGGTGAGCAAATACTTTTGGCAATATAGTGTAGATTTTGATAAACCTTATATCTGATGAAGTTTCTTTTTAGCCACTCCGTTCATTTTTCATCATGCTTATCCCTGCTTGGGTCGTGAGTTGTGCTGGTGCCTATTTCCAGTTGTTCATGGGCGGGAGGTAAAACCTGGATCGGCCGCCAGTCTATCGCAGGGCAACATAGAGACAAACACCTGTTCACACCTACAGAGAATTTAGAGAGTCCAATCATCCTAACAGTCATGTTTTTGGACTGTGGGAGGAAGCTGGAGAGAACCCACACATTCACGGGGAGAAAATGCAAACCACTGTGCAGCCCTTTTTAGCAACTATTTCTGTTTAGTCATTCTTTGTAAAGGAATCTCCCACCTTATCTCCCAATCTTTGCAACTTCTCTTAAGTTACTGCAGGCCCCTACCCTGGTTCACTGATTCATGCTGTCATTGCCTATCAAGCTCAGGGCTGGCATCCCTTACACTAATTGCCCCACAAGCCAGCAGTTTAGCTCTAAACAGGGAGATAAAAAGTCTCAGGACATTCACCCTGAAGAACTGCAGTTAAAGACCACTGCACCAAGGTCTTCACAGAACAGCTGGATATAAATTAATCATAAATCCAACTGATGGAAGAACTCTGGATGGAATTTCAAAATAGTGCTGACGAGTAACAGGTTTTCTTAAGGGGATTTAGTTGCACTATATTTTATTTCAATATATCTTAGTAAACGAGGCTAAATACAAAAGCATGTCCAATTTTAGATTTGGAAAAAAACTATTGCTCGTCTTCCATTTCACAATCCTGCATTACTTTGTGTTAGTGTATTATGTAAAATCTCAATAAAAGGAAATTAAAATAAAAGAAATTTGCAAATTTTGCCGAGAAAAATAAAGTTCAAGATGTAAAAACGAATTTTTCAAACCAGTGTATGCAGTAACTGGTGCAACTGATTTGTTATGCAGCTTGATACATAAGCTGATTTCACATCTTGATCGGCGTTCTGGTCACCACTGCTCCATCAGCTGCAAAAAGCAGCACCCTATTTGTACCTATACAACTGTCATGAACAAATCAATAACTCATCAGTTGCAGAGAAGCAAAAATCAATGCATTTTGTGCATCTGAAGTTCACATCTTACTCTGACAAGCAAGTCAGCCAAGTACCAGTTTACTACATCTACCTCAAGCAGTTTGGGGCTGTTCACGCACAGCTTCACATTAGTTGGCAGGTAAAGGGTTTCTGCAGAGCTGATGCAGAGCAATCCTCACAATTATTACTCATATTGTTAATAGTGTTTGTTAAAGTAAATACATAAAGTTAAGCTTGATTCTCTATTTCAGTAAATACTGACAAATGTAAACAACTAAACTTGGCACAGACATGATGAAATGCAATAAGATGAACTCAACATCAAGGTTAGACAAAAGTTAAGCAAACTCATGCAGATGTTTGTGAAGGAGCTGCAGCTTGAATTTAAATTCAGCACTTAAAAGAAAATAAAATCTTTCTTGATTTCTGGATGCTTAGTGCTGCAGATTTTTCATCCCGGCTGTGCAAGCAACACATCGATGAACATGAATAATAGAATAAGTGGTGAGAAAGAGCAGTTCTTATAAAATATAAACAGTTTTGTGCTGGCGGTCCTCAGAAGAGAAAGAGCTGGAGTTGAATGGGTTGCATCTCTAAGTTTGCTGATGCTCAGGCTGGTGTGATCCTGCTGCCTGTGGATGGTGGTGAGCCGCTTCAAATCAAGGTCTTTGCCTTCATGTTTCCAAACTGGACTCTCTGCTGGGTGCATCTCCACAGAGTCATGGCAATGCAGGTGTTTCACTTATATACATCAATAAATTGAAATATTCCTATAATTCACTAACAGAAACAAGTAGATTTAAAACTAAATGCTGTTTTTCTACAACCACATATAAGGAATTCAGGCTTTTGTTTTAATATTCTGAAGACATCAGTCTAAGCTACAGTATGAGAAAGAAAAGCATTTCACTCTCTTTCTAGTTTTCTTGAACCACACATCTTGAATTTTGATGAAGCACTGATGTAACTTTCACCCTTAGAGTTATTGTACTGTCTGTCCAGACATGCCCGACTGGTATAAATGTGTACATGCAGCACTGGCGAAAACAGAGCTGCGCTTTCCCTGGCCTCGTTTCAAACTCACACTCAAGGTTTTTGTGTATTACAGAGTTTCATTATCACTCTGTGCTCTCAATTATGGAGAATAAACCAACACATCAAGGTCCATCAATGAAGTTTAAGCAAAATCATTACCGTTTGTTGGAAATTTAACATGTAATCTTCTAAAAAGATATTTTCCATTATTTTCTGTAAATGAGGCTTCACGTTATTAATTTCGGATCATTAATTTGATTAGTGTGAACATATTAAGCTAAAAGGCTGTCAACCCTTAGTTCCTCATTTTACTTTAACCTCTCTTAAAGGGCCTCACTTATAAAAAGGATTTAAAACAGTACGAACTTCTTTGATGCTGGAGTGATTTTTATCTCAAAGGAAAGTTCACGGATGTTTCTTTCCAAATGCTAATTTGAGTTGGCACTGTTGTTGAGTGAGTCATGCAGATGCAAACACATTAAGCAGTGCACATAGTGATAAGAAATATCTAAAAACTAGATGCACTTGATTCGTTTTCAAAGTGATCCCTAACCCGAATTCCCATTTTCATCCAAATTGTATTCCTAATATACTTGATAATTGTCAGTTAACGTGACCATTATCATACAATGTTTATTTGGTGTTTCAAGGAAGGTTTGGTTATATTTAATCAAAATAATACTTGTCTGTTAAAATATTGATAACTTAAACACAGAGGGTTTAAAGACTTGAAATTGAAATGCAAATGTTTTTAGGAATTTGCAGAAGTGAAATTTGATGGAGGAAAAAAAAATCTTTTTGTACTGACACTAGCATGAGAGTGTGCATATTCCAGATTCACAATGATTGTTCTCCACCAGAATCAAAGGAAAGACACTGTAGACAGATACCAAACACAGTTGGTGAAACTACAGGCTCTGTTTACAGTAAATAGTTTGATTTTTAAGTTTGATTGTTTGTTCCAATAAGGGGTAAGGTGATCCAGATTTGATATTATTACTATATTTCTTAAGTCATCATTAACACCTAAAAGTACCTTAAAATTGAGTGCAAGTATAACTATATGTCTGTTATTTGTAAATGAGGCCCCAGTTTAGTTTTTTTTTTTAGTTTAATACTACAGCATCAAAAGCTATAAAGGCTTTCATTCTTTATCTGACAGATCTTCATCACTCAGAGTGACTAGTCAGTAGTGGCAGGTAATACAAAGGACAGTGAGTCACTGAAAAAGGTAATGTCAATCACTCATTCTCCCAGAAACAGAAAAAAACCTCAGTCTGATTTCCACCCTATCTCTTTGATCTTTGCTCTTCTGTTGCTCCAGTTCAGCACTAATCAAGGTTTCCATGGAGGACATGAGCACAGACTGTGGAGATGCATCCCAGCTCCAGCTGTGGCTACTTATCGATCAGTTTTGCTAAGCTTTCTCTCAGGCCTTTCAGGTCACCAATTTTGACATCCAGAACCCCAATGATTCGGTGGATTTCAACTCCTGATTGTTCCTGCTCCTCGCGATTCGTGGCCAGCGTTTTTTCAGCGCTCTGAACACGACCCTCCAGTTCGGTGTTTCGTCTCTCCAGATCCTGCAGAAACATTATTTGTACAGAAAGAAAGACATCTTTCAAGACTTTTTTTATGGTAAGATCTAATCAATGGACATTAGAGTTGCTTCAAGAAAATAATCTAATAATTAACATAATTATAATATATATATACACATTTATATATATATAATTAAAACAAACAAAAAACAAAAGTAACAACAATTGACCCTGGTGAGTGACAGGCAAACTGATAAGAACATAAAAAAACACTTTAATTTTGTAATCAATTAACACTGCATTAGTTGCAACTACGGTGTGCTTAAACAACTCTCTTAAATGTGAAATGCTTTTAATGAGGAAAGAAGATAAACAGCTATTTTAAAAGGAACCAAAAACTACAACGCTAATAAAAGGGAGCTATATTTTATATCAAATTTATGTCTTATTTGGTCTGTGAGTAAGAGAAACACTTGTATCAGGTAACATATACATTTTTTTAAGCCATTCAACCTCTGAACTCCATCTCTCATAATATGAGATATATATATTATATAAGTAATGATGTTGAAATGTTAGAAGCTTTAGTAAATCAGTTAACATAATAATCTAAATTCTCTTTCAAACACAGAAAAACTGCATTTTTTTATGCTAGTCACTCTGATCACAATGATTAATATTATGCAAAATAATTGAGCTAATATTATTACGAAAGGCCAAAGCTGTATAAGAACAAAGTATAACTGTTTTCATAAAGTTATCCCTGTTTAGTAGGTTTATTAAAACAGTTTATATAGCTGTGCTTTATGGAATGAGGGTCTAAAAATATGGCCCAGAATAAATTGTCAATTGAACACAAGGACTACAGAGGTCGAAAGCGATCATCCATAATTCATACCTGACACACAGCTAAGAAAGACAGACGACCTAATAGAGACTATGCAATATGCATCAGTTGCAGTCTGCAACATTAATAAGGAAATTCAGCATAATATGCTGTCCTTGAAGCCCTCAGATCACCTCCTCTGATTCAAGACAACATAAACCATTTATTTTACCCTTTTAAATTCTCAACAGTTTCTTGTGAGTCAATGTCTGGTTTAAAATACATTCAGAGCATCAAGATGGACCACAGACACTATAACAAAGAGAGAGTGTGATGGTGCAAAGCATGATTACAGAACCTCCCTTTGTTTAGTGAAGTGATACAAATTATGCTGTAACTGATTTTCTTACTCTTCAAATATCAAATTACCAAAACTTCAACCAGAAATACATAAACATTTTTAATTTGATAAATAAGCAGAAGTTTAAAAGGAGAACTTGTACGATAATCAAACTAACCTTAAGTCTTTGAATGACTTCATCCTTCTCCTTTTCCAGTTCCCCCACATCTGTTTTCCTGTTCTGTAAATTTTGAATCTCCTGCAGTCACAGAAATGATATTAAAACATTGCCAAAGCAACCATTAATGAGGAAATGAACCATCTAAATGGACTGAAGTTGTACAGATTTCTTAGTGTTCAACCACTCAAAGTGAGTTGCTGTGAGGGACCAAACTTAGGCCCCGTCCACACGAAGTCAAAACGAACACGAAACGCTGATATTTTCCAAAACGTTTGCCGTAAAGACGGAGACGTAAAATAAATGTGAGCGTCCACACGAATGCATGAAAACGCTGCAAAATGTATGCCAGGCCTGTAAGTGGCGTTGTGGTGCCAAAGCAAAAATAAGCGACGAAATGTAGGGCATGCGCACTAATATTTATACATGGTTGCCCTGCGGGTCTATTTTCGTGGTTAAGTCAAATTCAGGTGCTCAACTATGTGGTCGATATTGCTCTGTTCTTCCTGGAGATATTCCAGAAGAAGAAGATTCTGTTGTAAGCCCGACCAGCCCGACAGCAGGGTGAGTAGCATTAGCAGCAACGGCGCCATTGTTGTTGTGATGTGTCGCGCTTGCGTGTTTAGAGGCGACGCTATGACGCATGCGTGTAAAAAAAAAAATGCGGTTAGGGTGTAAACATGGAAACGCGAAAACGGCGTTTCAGAATCTTCCCACTCTGAAGGGTGAATAAAAAAATGATCGTTTACAGACCCCCGAAACGCCGGCTTCGTGTGGATGAGAGGCTGGTTTGGTGAAAAATTTGTGCGTTTAGGCCAGGGTTCGTCTTCGTGTGGACGGGGCCTTAAATAAGGATAAAAAGTGTTCAAAAATTGATTTACCAGTGTCAAAAATAGTTAACAAAGGCTCAAAAGTAACACAAAATAACTTAAATAATAAAAAACATGGATCTGGGCCCAACTCGACTGAGGTCAACTGAAGAGGAACAAACTCAAACAAAAAAACTGACCTTCTGATAAAGTACATAGGCTGCTTAAATAGGGGTGGAATAACCTAAACTTTCCACATGAGGGAGGCACAATATAAAAGAGAAGCAATAAATAAAAAAAAGTCCATACAAAGCTAAAACATAAATAAAACTCTCACTTAGCACAATTAATTGATAAAGTTGACAAAATAACTAAAGTAAACTTAAACAAAATCCCCCCCTCAGCTCTTGGGAAAGTGGTTTGTTCCTGGATGCTTCCACCTCCAGCTGATCTGCATTTGCAGAACTGTGAAATTAAATAAACTTTGTGGTGGTAGAAGTTGCACTAGGGTTAAATTCATCCAGTCACACTCACAAACATACAAACCTTCATATATCAATTCAAAGATTTACAGGCAACTTTAGGCTAAGTGCCTTGCCCAAAGTGCCCAAAGGCACCTGTTGCAGCTAATGTTCTCTCTCTGCTCCAGGTGAGACACTCTAGATATGTTTGCTGACAGCTTCTCCTAGTAGTTTTTTACTGAACAACCAAGCAATGAGGGAACAAAATAAAAAACACGTACTTCTCAAAATTTTCCAAACACAGTAGAGATGCTGTGGAGTAGTCATACCTTTCCCGATCTAGTCTGTCCTGCTTCACCAACTTTAAAGGGATAGTTCGGGATTTTTGACATGAATCTGTATGGCATCCCCATCACCAGTGTCATGCAATCACACTGACTTACCCCTGGCAGCATCCTGTGAGCAGAGTTCTCGTCCAGCTTTGGTCAAGCCGAAAGTAGTCCGGCAGGTTTGCTAGACCCAGCGAAATAAAACGTTTCTCTTCCCAAAACATTATGTGTTCAAAAGAGTGATATTTTTGCATCCCAAAAACATTGTAGTGGAAAAAGTCACACGTCGTTATCACTTTGTCCTATTTTCTCTCTGTTCGTATCAGTGCGCGCGACACCATGACCTGCCAGCTAGGGCCTACCTGTTTGATTCGGGATTGTTTACTACTGGGGAAGATGTCTGACTACGAGAGCGACGAGGAAAACATCGACTTCCACTTAGAGCCAAAGGGATATCTTTATGAACCCGAGTACACTGACGATGAACTTCGACAAATGGAGTTAGATCGGGCAGAAAGAGAGAGGGTGGACAGAGAAGTGACGGAAGCTGAAGCCGGAGCCGCAGGAGCCTCAGCTGGAGCTGCGTTATCCAGGGTGGCCGACAAATCATGGTGCACTTGTTTCAAGTGCGAATTAATGCAGACAGAGGTGGATGCTACTGTTGCCACGAGTGGGATTTAGTAATGCCCGAGATACAGAACCTTTCCATTGATGAGGATGTCGGAGTTGCAGAAGCTGCTGTCTGCATCACTGAAAGCACTGAAATGAGCTGGAAAAGTTGAGCTCGCTGTCAGAATGACGGCGCGCACTGATACGAACAGAGAGAAAATAGGACCAAGTGATAACGACGTGTGACTTTTTCCACTACAATGTTTTTGGGATGCAAAAATATCACTCTTTTGAACACATAATGTTTTGGGAAGAGAAACGTTTTATTTCGCTGGGTCTAGCAAACCTGCCGGACTACTTTCGACTTGACCAAAGCTGGACGAGAACTCTGCTCACAGGATGCTGCCAGGGGTAAGTCAGTGTGATTGCATGACACTGGTGATGGGGATGCTATACAGATTCATGTCAAAAATCCCGAACTATCCCTTTAAAGTGGGTGAAGCAGGACAGACTAGATCGGGAAAGGTATGACTACTCCACAGCATCTCTACTGTGTTTGGAAAATTTTGAGAAGTACGTGTTTTTTATTTTGTTCCCTCATTGCTTGGTTGTTCAGTAAAAACTACTAGGAGAAGCTGTCAGCGAACATATCTAGAGTGTCTCACCTGGAGCAGAGAGAGAACATTAGCTGGTATCGGGCCAAGATAGGTATCCCTGCCAGAATTTGTATCCCCTCCCCGGGAACACGCACACAGTTCACTCCGCCTCAATTCCAACCTACTAAACGTGAGATGTCTTATCTTCATAAAAGATGAGCATTATTATTTTATTCTTCACGTCACATGTTATAGCAGAATATCACCAGCGATATTGTTTCAAAAAAATATATGAGAGCATTTGCTTCAAAAACAGGACGCTGGGAACAGTGTAAACTCCTTTCTCTAAAAGCCAACAACTCCTTTGTTTCAAAATGTTCCATAAAAAAAAATGATCTCATCGTTTCACATTGTCTAAATGTTCTCATCTCATTGAAAACTGTTGTCAAACACATTCTTATAATAAAAATCAAATAGTAAATGGAGTGTACATGCACATATTATAGGCTACACAAAGTAGAAATATTACTTTATCCTATATTTAGTGCTTAAATCTATATTTGTGTTTTATATTAACTTACAATTTCTGTATGTTGTACTAACCCTATGGAATTAAGGCGGAATTAACTCAATGAGCTCCTACTCTGTGCTCTGTGCTCCCGGCGAGAGGATACAAATTCTGGCGGGGATGAGCCAGACAAGGATGGATTGTTATCAAAAACCTGCTAATGTCCCTCATAGCACTTCCACTTCCAGCTCCATATCCGACCCGAGATGTTGTTTAGGGGAGAGAAATAAAAAAATAACTGATGTCCCAGATGATGATGCAAAGCTTACTGTTATTAGCTCCTGTAATACCGAAGTCAGAACATTGGTAATACCATGATAATAACATGGCTCTACATTCTATGTTAGGTGTTTTATAGGTTTGTGGTTTTAACAGAAGGATCAGAGGAATTGATGCTTTGTTTTTTATTCTTATTGAGGTGGTGATGTTTCACATTGACTTAGAGCTGGAAACACACAGATCTGACAACCCTGGCAGTTAAAGGCGGGTGGAGTTCCTAGCTATTACTTTAAGAATATAGTAAATGATTGAAGCCTGATTCTAAGCAGAGACTCCCAGACTTCCCTCGGCGTAGATACCTCCTCCATCCCCTTTGGGGGAAGACAGAGGTGTTCCAGGGCCAGCAGAGAGACATAGTCCTTCCAGGGTCGACCTCTGGGGCTCCTCCCAGGACGTGCCTGGAACACCTCCTGAGGGAGGCGTCCAGGGAGCAAAGGTGTCTGAACCACCTCAGCTGACTCCTCTTGATGTGAAGCAGAAATGGCTTTCTTTAGAACCTCTCCTGTTTGACTGAGCTCCTCACCTGATCTCTAAGGGAGTGCTCAGCCAAGCAGAGAAAGCTAATTTCAGCTGCTTTTATCCATTATCTCATTCTTTCAGTCATCATCCAGATTTCATGACCATAGGAGAGAGTCGGAACTTAGACTGACAGGTAAATTGAGAGCTCTAAAGGTTATTGCGCTTCATCAAACACATCTTATTTTTATTTTTTTAGCTAAACAACTAAAAGATATTAACCTAGTATAACATTTAATGCTGCTCACGGGACATTTCTTCAATGTTTTCAGGACAGAACTACCCAACACCTACAGGTTTGTTCTAAACAGCAGATAGATCAATTTCTCTAATAACATTAAAACTAGAAAACTCATTTATTCCCCTTTACTTTATGTCCAAGTTCATTTACAAACACTTATTTGCCGGATTAATTGTATTACTATTGACCCAGAAAGATTTTTTTTTTCCTAGGGATGATTTAGAGATAAATTACTCAAACTGACACTTGCTCTTTTCTATCCCTATGCATTCACAAATGATTGATTTATGAATGTTTCAGGAGATGTTTCCACAGGGAGGAGATGAAGGTTTGCTCATCTAGCTCACTGCTGGCGGGGTATTATGTATGCCTTTGTATTAATGGGCTAGCTTTCCACTCTTAGATTTTCTTTAATAAGATGGCAAATAGATTTGGACAGCATGCAGTGGAGGGGGAGGGATTGGTTTCTTGCCTGCTCTTTGGCTCTCAGCAAGGCTTCCAGCTCCTCCAACGCCCGACTCAGCTCCTCTTTACCAGGCTGACCAGCGGCAGGACGCCCCAGCTGGGCCTCCAACTCAGCCACCTGGAACACAAAAACACCACAAAGACATGCGTTGAAATATCACCTGCCTGAGAACCCTCACTGATGGCAATTGATTTTTAGAAAATCTTTATTTATAGATGCAAAGATTATTAGGATATAAGGTGTCAATTTTTAAGCCAAATAATGGATGGATGGATGGATGGATGGATGGATGGATGGATGGATGGATGGATGGATGGATGGATGGATGGATGGATGGATGGATGGATGGATGGATGGATGGATGTTTAAACAAAACAAAATGTTAAAAGAAACTGGTTAGAAGAATTCATAAAAAAAAAATAAGGAACTTTATGTTAACAGCGTCTTTAAAGTATGTTAAACAACTCTCAGTTCAATTGACCTGTGGAGCTTCAGGTTCAGTTATACCTTGTTGGACATAAAAGCATTGTGAAAAAGCTCAATTTAGGTTCTGTTTGTACTGCTGAACACTGAATGTGAGCTGCTCTCTTTTTTTATTCTCTGGGCCTGTTTTTAATAATTCTGCTTGAAAATGACACGTCAAAAATGTATTGAATAAATCTTAGGAACTACAAAGTTTATTGTTTAATACCAAAATGAAAGTTACACCCAAAATAATAATCTACAGGTCTGATAATCCACACTCATGTCACTGGATTACAAGAACACAGCAGAAAGTAAAAAATTTTTTTTCAAAAAATCTGACCAACTGCTATACTAAAGTTCATATTAAAGTTAAAATAAGTAGAGATGTGTGTTGATAGGAAACAGACAGCCATTTTGGCACAGTGGCATTTGGCATTACAAAAGTTCTTAGGCATTTATTTTCTTCTGTTTTTCCCCTCTTATATCTCACCATAGGCAGCCTGTGTTCTGCTGCAAAAATATTTTATTTAACTTACTTTCACTTATTTTTTGCTTTCCTCTGTAGGAAATTTTACATGTAATACTTAATAATAATAGAGAAACCAAACCACTATGGGTGTTTTCAATGAGGAGAAGTTAATAATCAATATCAAGCAACCAGTTTTTTTTTTGACTCAGAAACGTCAAACAACCTGGGGATCAAAAAACTGTAATGCAGCTTGCATGACACAACCTTGTCATTAGCAAAAAGATCAAAGGACACATCAGTTATATTTTGCACAAATCATGACTGTAAATAAAAAAAAGATGTTTCTAAGACAGAACCTAGTTGCACAGCTTTGAAACACTAACATAAAAGAATAAAATAACATTCAGTTAAACTGCTATAGAATGTCCATTCAAAAGCTACTTTGCTGTCTCCCAGTAAAGTTACTTGTAATGCTAAGTTAGATTGGTTTACACTGGGTGTCCAAACCTTCTGCCAAACATGCCAAAACCACAAAGTGCAAGGAACTCAGGTCTTAGTCTTAGTCACATTTTAGTCATTAAGATATGTGATAGTTTTAGTCGGTTTTAGTCTACTAAAACTTAAAAAGGTCTAGTCTAGTTTTAGACAGTTTTATGTTGCAAAAAAAGTTAACCTTTGCAAAAAAGTTAACCTTTACAATTTGTAATGACAACTAGATTCTTTACCAGACTGAAAGCTCTTGCCTAGATACTACAATTGCTGGGTATAGAATGCTGCCATGCAGTTCATCATTGCTGTGGGGCAGAAAACTTTGATTTATAGAATTCAAATAAACTTTTTTATGAAATAATGCATAGATCTAGTTAAACACATCATATTGGTTAATATAGCAGACAGACAAGCTGACGAAATGTACAATAAAGGAATGGTTTTAGACAACAAAGGTTTCCATTCAAAAGCAAACACTTTCTGGTCTACTATGAATTATGCATTACACACAGATCAATCAATCTTTATTGCTCCAAAAAAGCAAAGAACAAAAAAATATTTCTTTCTACTTTGGCAATTATGGTTTTATTTCTTCAATTTGCCCCTTAGTTACCACCGCTCAGGGGTCAAAGTAGATTTAAATTCACAGGGTTCGGATATAACAAAATACACAGAGAACCTACATAATTGCCTTGTAATTCAATGGCAATCCAGACCTAAACTGTATGAATATGTGAACTAAAATGTTGAAATATTTAAAGGAAACAGAGAAAATGTTTTAATGACCTTTCAAGGAAACATTTACATCATATTTGAATAGATAGAAATGAGAACTAAGAGAAAGAATTATTCAAAAATATATGTACCTTTTAACCTGGCTCTTTATCCAAAAATAAACAGAATGCAGTGAGATACATCAGTTATCATACAGAATGAGCACCGCTGCACGGCAGGTGGGCTCAAACAGGACACAGCAGCACGGCTGATACTGCTTAGCAGATTACAACACAATGATGCTCAAACCTATAACTCTCAAGTTTTCATCAACAAAGATCCTTGTTTAGCTTGTCAGTTCTCGTTATCGTCATGAAAAAAAGGAACGTCAACAAAATAATTTCTTCATCGTCATCCTTGATGAAAACAACACTGCACATGATTAAGAGTAGCTCTGAAAGAAAGATGATGTTCTTAGCAAAAGGATTATAATAATTACAATCATTGAAAACAAATTAAAGGAATAGTACACCCAAAACATGATTAGCCTTCATTTTCTACTCACCCCCATGCTGAACAACACTCTGGAGTACTTTTTTGATATCTCAAATGCATCTGGAGATCTGGGAGGCTTCTTGCTGTCTGCTGACATTCAAATAATGGAGGTACCCAGCGCCCGAGGCAGAAAGGTCCATAAAAGTCCACAAAAAACGTTTCAATATTCCTCCATACTGCTCGTCCAATGTATTCCAAGTGTCCTGAGTGGGTAGCATCCAGAATTTACTCGAAACAAAGTCATTTAGAATGTTTTTAGAGCATAAACAGTAGTGTATAGGATTTCCTGAAAGCGCGCACATGCGCGTTCACGACGCTACGGAAGCCGGCAGACCAAACCAGATGAAAGTGCGCATTCAGCGTCTGCTCTTCCAATAATGCAAGCGTAGAAGAAGAAATGTGCCGTTTACCTGTGCAAAGAAAGAAACAACGAAAGAAAAATGTCTGAGGACTTCAGTGTTGAGGAAGAGCATGAGTTCTTTGCCGAGCTGAATGCGCTGGTTTGGTCTGCCGGCTTCCGTAGCGTCGTGATCGCGCATGTGCGCACTTTCAGGAAATCCTATACACTACTGTTTATGCTCTAAAAACATTCTAAATGACTTTGTTTCGAGTAAATTCTGGATGCTACCCACTCAGGACACTTGGAATACATTGGACGAGCAGTATGGAGGAATATTGAAACGTTTTTTGTGGACTTTTATGGACCTTTCTGCCTCGGGCGCTGGGTACCTCCATTATTTGAATGTCAGCAGACAGCAAGAAGCCTCCCAGATCTCCAGATGCATTTGAGATATCAAAAAAGTACTCTAGAGTGTTGTTCAGCATGGGGGTGAGTAGAAAATGAAGGCTAATCATGTTTTGGGTGTACTATTCCTTTAACAATGACAATAACTATGAATCATGTTTATAGTCCGTTTTACATACATGTATCTCAATGTGCTATAAGCAAAAGTAAAAAAAAGAAAGAAAAAAAGCTAAAAAATGAAAAGCTGAATTAAATAAATAATAAAGAATACAACCTGGAAAAATCCCTTTCTCAGCTATAACCAACCAGCCAGAGTTTAGTTCTGGAACTGAAAAGAGCCTTTGTCAGACAGCTCTAAACTGCTGGATTCCTCAACTCCTCGCAAAAAGCGCTTGATCCAAAATATTGGATATCAAGTATACAATGCTTTTTAGTAAACAAGTACATAACATCTATGATTACCATTTAATGGAGGAAATGAAACTGAGGTGAGTGTGAACTGTATAATATTTTCACTAAAAGGGATTTATTTAAAGACCTAGTGTCATACTGAACCCCTCAGCAGATGGCTGCTCACCCTGAGCCTGATTTTACTGGAGGTTGCTTCCTGTTAAAAGGGAGTTTTTCCTCTTCACTGTCACTGCATGTTCTGTTTCAGGGATTGCTATAGCGTAAATGACACAATGCAAGCGAACGCCTACTGCCATCACATGATCATCCAGGAAGAATAATTCCTGCAGAGATTGTGATGCGATGCAATCAGCTGGTTTTCCTTAAATAGAGAATAGAGTTTGTTCTGGTTGAATTGTCTCTGGAAAATGTCTTGAAATTACGTTTTCTGAATTGGTGCTATATAAATACACTTAATTTAACTAATAATATTCATTCATACTGCAGTTACACACACTACTATAAATTGTAAAAAATGAAAACTTTTAGTATTATAAAACCATTATTAAAGAATTACTCAGCTAATCCCACACAAAAATGTTACTGATGGGATTTTCACATGTGATGAACACCTTTTATTCTCTGAATATCACTTAGCTGCATCCAGGCACACTCCATAGAGAATCTGCAACAACAAAAAAAAATCAAGGGCATCTTTTTTTCTTCATGCATGCTTTCATCCCTTTTTACCCTCTACTTGAATATACAGATAAACAACACTACACACACACACACACCAATGGAAATTATTCAAAGGAAAAAGAGCCTTTCTGCCTGAGGGCTCAGAACCAAATCCTAGAAGACCTCTCTAACAGAGGGATGTGACCTGGCAAAAGATTTTCATGTAAACTGATTTGCCCAATTTGACCCACTTCCCTGAGTTTGACACATTAATGGAAAATTTTGAAGAATCTGAGTGACAACTTAACAAAACAAGGACAAGCTCTACATCCTCACAATGTGACATCACTCAAGAACCTGCAATCAGAGCCCTCTGACTGGGTTGGGGGTTTGAATCCCTCTTGTCTTTGGTTACCGCAGATCTGTGTGGCAGTAATCAGCTTAAGATGTTCAACTAATTGGATCCCAAGTGTTTACAGAGTTTGAATTTGCAGCAATTAACAGAAAAAGAATTTAATTTAGATAAAGCTTTAAATAAAATAAAAATATGAGGAACTGTGTGGAAGATGCATAAAGATGTTAGAAATTGTTCTATTGTTTATTTAAGTT